GCGCGGCCCCAGGGCCCGGTGAGGGCTTGCACGCAGGTCCCGTGGCCGCGGGCGGCTGCCAGCTGCAGCGCCGTGAGACCCGCTCGGTTGGTGCGGTCGAGGCGCAGGCCGAGGCGGCGGAAAGAGCGCACCAGGAACTCGAGCACCGCCCCATGGCCGCACGCCGCCGCCCACATCACTGGGCTGTTGCCCGCCGAGTCGGCCGCCTCGGGGTCGCCGCTGAACTGCACCAACAGCTGCACCGCGTCCAGGTGGCCGCGCTCGCACGCCAGGCTGAGTGCCGTGCGGCCGCGCTCGTCCCGCAGGTTCACGGCCGCACCCTGCTCCAGCAGGAGCCGCACGAAGCGCGCGCGCAGCGCGGGGTCCGGCAGCCCCACCGCCACCATGAGCGGCGTGCGGCCCTGCTCCGCGCGGCAGTCGATGATGCTGCGGTCCAGCGCATCCAGTACAAAGCGGGCCAGGTGCACTTTACCCGCCTGCATGGCCTCCAGAAAGGTGCGCGTACCCGCTCGGGGGCACAGGTCCTTGGGCTTGAGCATGGCCCTGGCCGCCGCTCCCAGGCGGCCCAGCAGCTCCGCACGGGGGCGCCCCTGTTCCCGCGCCCCGCCGGGCTCTGGGCCCCGCTGGTGCTCTGGTGTGGCTCCCTCCGCGCGTGGGCGGCTGCAGCCGAGGGTCCTGACGTTCCCACTCTTGTGCCCCAGCGGCTCCCGTTTCCCCGCGGCTCCTGGGCCGCACGCCTGGTGTCTCGCAGCTCCTTCCCTGGGCTTCCCGCCTGGAGGTGTAGATTGCTCGCTACTCTGGGCTCCGCGCCTGGCCCGCCACGAGACTACGGGAGCAAAAGCTCGGCCCCCTCCTGTCTGTCCCGCTGTTTCCCGCGTGTCCGGTGCCCCTCCGTCCCTTGTGGCTTGGTGCCGCGCCACTCACCCGCACCCGGGGCAGCCCCCGCTCCCCTGATGAGACGGTGGCGCCCGCCGAGCGCGCCTGCCTCCAGCCCTGGCGGGGCGCGCCGCTCCTCAAGCTGCTGGCGCCGCTCCTCCGCCTCCTCCCCACTCGCGGGGGCCGGGCCACACCGGGGCGCCTGCTCCTTACTTGGGGGGCTCAGCGGCGCGGGAGCCGCCGCCCGCCTGCGTATCTGGCTTTATAGCCTCGGGGGTCTCCATGGCAATGGCTGCCCTGGAAGCGGGCTGAGCCGTCAGGGCAGGAATGCGCCCGGCGGGAGAGGCCGCCCCTGACCCCCACCCCTTCGTGGGCCACGAAGTCGGGGAGCGGCTCCTCCTCCGCGCTCCCCTGGGGCTGCCGCGGCGGTTGGGGGGCGGGGGCGGCGGCTGCTCGCTGGGGGGCCACATGCACCAGGCCAGGCCAATCCCAAAGTCACAGTCGTCTCTTCTCGTCTCCCCGCCCTCCGCCCCTACCGGAGTCGGTGCCCTCGGCTCCTTAGAAACTTAGGACCTCGGGCCCGTCGGAGAAGACGGAGGCCTGCCCCCAGCGGTCCAGCTGGAAGGAAACGGGACCCCACGAGGGCAGAACTGGACCATAAGCGAGCTGGGAGGCGGCGGCGAAAGGCGAACGGGGAGTAATTGGCGGGGGCTGGGGGGGGTACCTGCGCTGCGCGCGGGGTGGGGGGCGCTTATTCTGGCTGAGAACTGCCACTCGAAGTGTAGCGAATCACGCACTCACACACAAGTGTTCCTCCCGCACACGCTCACTCGGAGCGGGGGTGGGGGGGGGGAGACTGCGCCCTCCAATCTCCGACGTCTCCAACCCCGACCACGCGCCCGAGCTCCAGCTCCCGGCGGCTGACAGGCAGGCGGAGCGGAGACGCGGCGGCCAGGGCGGGCGCCTGGGGATTCGAGAGCGCGGCAGCCGCGTTAACAACTCCCCCGCGCCGCCTCCCCGCCTCCTCGGGGCCGGCCGCCACCCCGGAAAATGTGAGAGAGCTCCGCAAGGCTCCCCTACGGTCCTCGTCTCCCTCCGAAGCACAAGCCCACGCCCGGACCACCGGGCTCTGATTTTGAATGCTAGCTGACCCCTTTGGAAGGAAGGGAGAAAAGAGCGGGAGTCACTAGGGTGTGGAAAACCTGCGGCATCCCCTGTCCCTCCTGAGGTGGGGGACGGTGGTGCTCAGGCCTCGGTTGAGGAGAGTCAGGGCTCCTCAGAGCCGCCGGGGTCGGGGGGGG